AAAAAAAAACTTTTTTATGAACTCCTAGTGGGTCCATAACTAACCTAAAATTTCACCTTTGAAACCCTTGTTCCATCCATTACAGCTGTGTTATCGAGAAGAACCTCGTTCCCGATGTCACTTACGCACCTGATCTGTCTTATGCGTACACAACGATCAGCGCCTTCAGGTATGTTACGGCCACATTCTTGCGGACCTAATGACACACTGAATTTCAGATTCGCAGAACAGTTAATGGTTAATTTCGCATGTGAAATAACGCTGTGCAGAAAGCATGAACAAGGATGTGAAGGCATAACGGTAAGTCGGTAAATCCTTTCTAGGGTTGATCGGATAAGAAGCCCTGGACTGATGTTGTTCCCAAGGGCCGGATGTCCGGATGTAAAACTCAGGGTCCTTCAGAACTTGAAACGGCAGGAATTTTTCACCTGTTAGGGCTTGATGTGTGGGGTCGTTAGGACCGTTTAGGGCCAGCCAAGAGATCTAATAAGGGCTCAACACCTGAACAACAGTTCCGTGTTCACCCTCAGCAATGGGCTTGACTAGCGATTTTGGAGCCTCATTAAGCCATACCCTGCCATCATCAAACTTGCGATTCAACCGATAGCAGACAAAATCGCAGTACCTTGATCCTGCACCAAAGGGTGTGCACCAAGGGGCCTGCGCTGATTGGGATACGATTGGGATCAGCATTTGATCGAGATCATGATGAATAAAGTAATCCCTATCGAACTGTACCTTTTCAGCCCCCCACATGTTATCCAATAGATTTTCCACCAATAAAAGCTGTATACAAGCATTCGACCACGACAACTGCGATTCCTTCGTGGACTGCAGCACCAGAATCCAATCCCTATGGGGTCGACGCCTACAGTGCCTACGACAAGGTCTACAACAGGTTCGTTACAAAGCCTCCATAATTTCTAAGGGGGGAAAGAGTATTCACACTGATATCAGTGTCGAAGAGTTTCGCTCACCAGTCAAGTAGTCGGTTTTTAAACGTTTTTCTAAAAATACGATTTCAGGCCGAAT